TTTTGTAAGGAGGAACAGGCTCATATTCCTCCAAGCGAAATATGCAGGACAAATCAAACTTTATCAAAAATGTTCAGTTGCAGTTATTGCTGTCCATGGGTAGCACACCGATAACTGAAAGCAGAGTTTCACATTCTTTTGCCACACACAAAGATGTAATTTTAAATCACTTTCCTTAATTAATGAACAATTATATTTATCTATTTGTTTGTTTGTTTTGTTTCTCTTGATCTAGTTTTAGAACTTGTGTGGAGAACAGATCACATTTTAATTCATATTTATGCAGAAATATTGACAATTCAAAACCATTCACAAACCTTTAGCTACCACTGTAATCAGCTGAGAAGAGAAGCACATCTCTGTCATAAAAAAAAACCCAGGAATTATCTATCCTATTCTTTTTTCTCTTTTCCTAAACTAATCAGCTAAAAAAAGTCAACAAAAAACCCATAGCAGCATTAAAGGATCAACACAACCTCAAAATTGGTAAGCATAGTAATTAAAAAAGGAAAAAGATGACTAGAAATTATGTTTTAAGCAGAACAGCTCCAAAACTGTTGATTGTATTGCTTGAAACCCTTCTTGCTAACACTTCCTCTTTTGTAAAAAAAAAAAAATCCAAATGTTGACAAGAAGCACATATCAGCAATCCATTGCTGAGGCATCAGTGATCTCCTTTCAACTCTATATAGTAATTGTTTTAGTAAAACCTGCATTTTGTTGATATCCTGATAGATTCATAGATTGAGCAAGAGTCACGTTAAAATTTATAGAATACAATACCCTGCTCAAATGGAAGGCCTTATACCATTTCAGACAAATAATTGTCTAATCTCTTCTTGAAAATCTCCAGTAATGGGGCACCCACAATTTCTGAAGGCAAGCAAGCCATTCAACTGGTTAATTGTTGTAAGTGTCAGGAAATTTCTCCTTATTTCTTGGTTGGTTCTCTCCTTGATTACTTTCCATCCATTGCTTCTTCTGCCTTCAGGTGCTTTGGAGAATAGGTTGACGCCCTCTTCTTTGTGGAGGCTCTTTAGCTATCCGAACTCTGCTATCATGGCCTTATACTCAGTGACGGGCTGGCAGGGGAGGCAGGGCCTCACCACTGTCATCATGAAAAAGATAAACAAATTTAAAAGGAAAAAGGCTGAGGTAGTTGCTGCCAGAGTCACAGTGGATGACTGCTTAGTGCTTAACTGCAGGAAGAGACGAGAGAACCACGTGCCTCCTTTAGTCAATATTTATGATCACTTCAGCAGAGTTAAGCAAGGGTTAAAAGGTGAAAAATTCCTTATGCAAGGGAGGCTCGTGGTTCTCTCGTCTCTTCCTGCAGTTAAGCACTAGGCAGTCATCCACTGTGACTCTGGCAGCAACTACCTCAGCCTTTTTCCTTTTAAATTTGTTTTTCTTTTTCATGATGACAGTGGTGGGGCCCTGCCTCCCCTGTCTGCACGTCCCTGGAACAAGGAGAGATTCAACCCAGAGGAACTTTCTGACAGTGAGAACAATTAACCAATGGAACAGAAGTTGCCTTTGGAAGTTGTGGGGGATTCATCACTTGAGACTTTC